GGCTGGTCTGCATGATGGACCCATGATCACAGTATTGGATAGTTTGAGTTTATATATTCAGCTAACGGATGCAATAATGTTTTGTTTCTATATGAAATCAGTATCTTAATGCCATTTCTTCAATTAGAACAGAGAGCAGTACTAGAAACAAACCGATATACATACAATGACCTGTGCAGTTGGTATGAAAGTGATCTCTCACCGTGGACCCAATAGACCCAAAAATGATTATCCTTATTAACTCACGAGTCTATGTGTTTAATAACATGTGTATCTAACTCTTTTTTTTTTCACCGTGAAAACAAATCTTCATCGCATATATTTTTAGACCAAATTGTTACAGTAAACATGGTGGCTAAAATCTAGATCAGAAAACAATAACCAAAATAAAATCACAAGAAAGATCATAAGCACAAACACGAGGATATACGCGGTTCGTAGTAAGTCCTACGTCCACGGGCAACAGCAAATAAATTCACTAAATCAGAAATGTTAGAATAAGTACACAATCGAGTGGAAATAATTGCAAAGAAAACAAACATGAACTAGTAGAAAAATGATCAACCTAGACGGAAAAAACCGTCTAGGTTGCCCCTGAATTCCGTCTAAGTAGATCACTCTAGATAGAATTTCGTCTAGGAAAGTTCGTCTAGGATATTTCCGTCTAGGTTGACTCAACCTAGACGGATTTCCATCTAGGTTGATCCAACTAGACGGAAACCAACCTAGACAAAATTCAAAATTTCGTCTAGGAAGCAACCTAGACGGAAATTCTGTCTAGGATGCGGCTACAATAGTTTTTTTTTACAGAATCTACTTTGCACGACATATAATATCACATGTACATGTGCACAATATTGCACAACACAACACTAAACCAAGGTGGTGCACACTTTGTAATAAAGTGGGGCATGAGACTGTTCAGTGTAGGAGAAATGTAAGAAAAATATGGGTACCTATCAACAGGCTCAATGCACAAGCTCCTAATAAAGTGCAACATGCTGGTGTAGATGCACATAATCCTAATTCTGAACATGAGCAGGATGATAATATAAAGTCTAAACATGTGCAGGAGTCTAAACATGCACAGGACAAACAAGCACAAGATGGTTCAATTTATCCACAGGTTCTAGCAGATATTTCTGTGGTAAATGTTTCTGGTACTGTTGCACATAATTCAAAACATGCACAAGATGGTCTAAAACATGCACAGACTCAGCTTGAGCAGGAGACTGCAGGTTCTGTGGCAGAAACTTCTGGTTTAGCTGAACAATTTGTTCAACAGGAAGAGGCACATGATTTTCAGTCTTCTCCTACTGTCAATGTCACTGGATTTACAAGTGTTGCTAAAACTAAAACTGCTAGAAAAATCCAAACTAATATGCCTGGTAACATAATTCAGGCTTCACATTTCTCAATCTTGGCTCATCAGGTACTTGATTTAGACCCCTATAGTATTGATAGGGGTGGAGTATATCAATAAATGCATCTGGCAATATGGAACATCAGAGGATTTAATAAATCCTCTAAGCATTTGGTTGTTAAGCAGTTCATCCAGGACTATAAAATTTCTTTTCTAGCTCTTTTAGAAACCAAAGTGGCTGCTGAGAAAATGAAGATTATAGCTACTAAAATTGCAAAGGATTGGAAATGGTCCTCTAATGTGCAGTACTCTACAAATAAAGCCAGAATTTGGGTGTTATGGGATAGTCATTATATCTCTGTTCAGAATATAAATAGTTCTGAACAATTTATGACATTCAAAGTGGAATCTAAAGATGGAAGGCTAGCCTGCTTTCTCACAGTAGTTTATGCTCTTAATCAAATGGTGGGAAGGAGGGATCTTTGGCAGGATCTTTTGGCTTTTAAAAGGACTGTATCAGGCCCTTGGTTAGTAGGAGGAGACTTCAATGCTATCCTCAATGGTGAGGAGAAAATGGGAGGTGCACAAGTATCAGATGCAGAAGTAGAGGATTTTCAGAATTTCATAGTTTCAAGCCATCTTAAACATATTAAATCCACAGGTTGGCTTTTTACTTGGAGCAATAAGCAGGATGCACATACAAGAATCTGGAGCAGATTGGATAGAATGCTAGTGAATGAAGACTGGGTTTTTTAATATACATCCAGTCAGACAGAATACTTAATGCCTCTTTGTTCTGATCACTCTCCAGGTCTAATAACAATTTGTGATGAACAAATTGATGGCAAGAGGCCATTTAAATTTTTTGATATGTGGGCCAAGCATCCTGATTTCCTGTCAATTGTCAGATCAGTTTGGGAACAACAGGTACAGGGCTATAATATGTACAGGTTCTATATCAAGCTCAAAAAACTTAAACCTGTTCTCAGAGATCTGAATAAGAGGCACTTCATGAACATTAGTGAGCAAGTTACTAGAGCTAAATTTGAGTTGTATGAAGTGCAATCTCAGCTTAGCTCTGACTTGTTTAACTGAGCTCTGATTTCTAAAGAAAAAGAATGTATCAAGAAGTACACACACTTATTTGATTGTGAAAACTCTTTCTACAGACAAAAAGCTAATATCAGTTGGGCACTGCATGGGGACAAGAGCACGCAATACTTTCATTCTGTTATGAAAAATAAGAGGCATCATAATAAGGTGTTGTCTTTAATTTCTCAAAATGGTACCAGGATCTCTGATCAACAAAGCATCATCTCAGAGTTTGTTGAGTATTACAAAAATCTGCTTGGATCTATAGGTCTCACAACAGCACCTAATCCAGAGGTTATCTTACAAGGGCCAGTCCTCTCTCCTATCCAACGTAATGAGTTGAGCAAGCCTGTTACTAGGGATGAGATCAGACATGCTGTATTTACAATGCCTGATGGCAAAGCTCCAGGCCCGGATGGATTTAGTGCCTCCTTCTTCAAATCTGCCTGGAATGTGATCAAAGAAGACTTGTTTATGGTTATTGAGGAATTTTTTGTTTCAGGTAAGCTCCTGGGCACTCTAAATACAACTTCAATAACTCTGGTGCCAAAAATTCTCAGTCCAAATTCAGCCTCAGACTTCAGGCCTATAGCTTGCTGCAACGTTATTTACAAAATCATTACTAAGATCATTGCAAATAGGATACAAAAAATCATGGGTTATTTGATTAATGACGCTCAAAGCGCTTTTGTTAAGGGGAGGCTCATCTCAAGTAATTTTCTTTTAGCCCATGAATTAATCAAACACTATGGAAGGAAGCATATTTCTCCGAGAGCTATTATTAATGTGGATCTTAGAAAGGCATTTGATACAATAAATTGGGGCTTCATCAAATATATGTTAGTGGGTATGGGCTTCCCTGAAATTATGGTTGGTTGGATTTGGGAGTGTATCACCACCCCAAAGTTCTCTTTGTCTCTAAATGGTGTTTTACATGGCTACTTCTATGGAGCAAGGGGGCTGAGACAGGGAGATCCATTATCTCCCTATCTTTTTGTTCTAGGCATGGAGTACTTGTCCAGGAGGTTATCCATGCTCAGGGATGATAATTTGTTTAAATTCCATCCAAAGTGTTCTAGGCTGAAGTTAACTCATCTGATTTTTGCTGATGATTTGTTGCTGTTTAGCAAGGCTGATTTAAGTTCAATTACAAGGTTACAAGCATGTTTGCAAGAATTCTGCCAAGTCTCGGGCTTGGAAGCTAATCTTGGCAAGTGCTCAGTCTATTTGAGTGGAGTTGATGACAATTTAAGAACTCAAATATGTACGTTCCTAGGCTTTTCGGAGGGGACTTTGCCAATGAAATATTTGGATCTGCCACTAACAACAAGGAAGCTATCTCACCTTGAATGCTCCTCACTAATCAGTAAAATTGCTGATCAGTTTCACAGTTGGCAGTAAAATAGGAAGTTATCTTATGCTGGGAGAATTCAACTGATTAAATCGGTTATTCTTGGGGTTCAAACATTTTGGGTTAGCAGCTACATCTTGCCGATTAAAGTCCTTGAAAAAATTGACAAGCTGTGTTCATCTTTCCTATGGGGTCAAAAAATTCATCTAATCTCTTGGCATACAGTTTGTTTGGAGAAGAAAAAAGGTGGTTTAGGTCTCTTTTCGGCTAAGACATGGAATCTTGCTACGGCTGTTAAACTCCTGTGGATGATTCACCAAAAGAAGGACTTGTTATGGATCAAATGGATACATGGCCACTACCTACAACATTCTAACATTTGGCAAGTTCAGCATAGGGAGGGGGATTCTTAGATGTGGAAGCAAATTCTCAAAGTTAGAAGTATGTTGATTACTAAATTTGGCAATTCTGAAAGCTTGATGAACACTTTGGATGGCTGCTGTGTAAATGGTAAAATTCAGATGACTCTGATTTACAATGCTTTATCTCAGCCGAATAATTCAGTTGACTGGGCTTATACTACATGGGGGAAAATTGAACTATCCTAAGCATTCATTCATCCTTTGGCTTGTTAATCATTCTAGACTCCTCACTCAGGAAAGATTGTGTCGGTTAAGAATGCTGGAAACCAACTGCTGTATCCTGTGCTCTAACCAGTTGGAAAATTGCATACATTTATTTTTTGAATGCTAATACTCGGCTGAAGTATGGAATAAAGTGATGGACTGGATTGGTTTCACTTGGAGAACGTGTGATTAGAACTTACTCATTCATTGGTGCACCTGTAATCTGAGAGGCAAGGGGTTTAAGAAGGACCTGAAGAGAATGGCTCTCTCTGCTGCTGTATATTCCATTTGGCAAGAGAGAAATGCCAGGATTTTTCAAGAGAGAGCTAGGGGGATTGATGATCTCCTTCGAGTAATAAAACTCTCCATTTACTCTAAAATTCTGAATGATAACATTCCTGTATATATGAGGGAAACTTTAGAGAAGTTGTAGTGTCTATTTTTTGTTTACCAGGTAGCCTTAACCTGGTTCTTTGATGTACTATACTTTTTCAAATTGCTGATGAATGAAAGATTTAATTCATTGATCAAAAAAAAAAATATTACACAACACCAAATTATATTCATATCCAACACAATCTAATTATATTTTAATATCAAATCCAATTATATTCAAATAATACATTCACCAAAATACTAGAGCGATACATAAATTGGTTACATAGATAATAACTAATTTTCTATTTATATATTTATTTAAAATTGGAATGAAATGAGATATATTTATAATCTTTTTACATTCTTCTATCCTCTATCCCCTGCTTGTGATATTCTACCCCTTCTCAAAGGCTTCCCAAACATGGATGTTCAGCTGCTTGAATTCTATTGCTTGTCCGTTTAATCTGTACTGGTTGTCCCCCTATAAAGTAAATATGTAAACAATTCATATATTTTAAAAACAAAAAATAACTAGAACTTGATGAACTTTACATAATTTATAGTTTACAGTATTACATATGTAAACTATTAATACATATATTAAAACAAAGAAATAAATGTATACATTTAATTGTAAAGTGAAATTATAGTAGTACTTACTTTGATTTAAAAGTTACAGGAGGAGTGTCGGTTCCATCCAATACATAAAGTATTAACCCTTCACCACTTGGAATTTTGCAATCATGGACAACCTTTGCCATATCCAGGGGAAAAAATTCTTCACATTTTAAGCTTACATCTTGAGTCAAAAAGAACAAAATTAGCACATTTGAGGAAAATATGCTCACCTGGCAGATGATGTCACAAACTTTCCCTTCTTCAAGCTCCTTTAAAAGTAATAAGCTTACAATTAACTAACAAATAATACTAATCAAAATAGAATTAAAAAATAGAACTAAGAGTGGGAAATATGAAGAAACTATGCCACAAAGCATTTTATTAGTCAATAAAGACAATGTCTAGCAAAAAAACAACTACAAGCTCAGGAGTATTAATTGAACAATTTTCACAACATCATGCATAACTGATTGAGGATATAGTTCTCAACATATTGAACAAAGAAAAAGGACCTGGAGCCCGCCCAATATTTTGCATAAAAGCTTTTGTCGGTTGTGCTAATGATTTCATGTCACTTGATAGTAAAAAGGGCAACGAGCATAAGAGGAAAAAAAAAAAAAATCTAGAGATGAATGTTCCAAAATGATTCATTGTGTGCTGACAAGAAAATCATGCTGACATATTCTCCGAAAATATTACCACATGCATAAAACAAAATAAACACTTACAAGAATAAAGGTAAAAGTATAATTTTTTTGGTAACAAATAGAAAAGGCCT